AAACTTAAGCATTTATATGCACACCACTCAATTCTCATGTATTTACGTAACTTGTGCCTAAAATTTACATTTTATATTTATGTCAGCTAAATCTTTTATATGGCATCAAAAATATCGCTATTTAAACTTTTAAAAGTTAAATACAATTTTTTCATGCGGAGATAAGATGACATTTATGTAAAAATTAAAATTTTAAGTGTTAAATATACAAATACAAAAGAATTGACTGGTATGCATATAAATCTTCCTTTCTTGTTTGAAAGGTTAAATCACATGCTTATTAGGTCATGGTTGATCATTTGATGTGGCAAAGTTTACGTTGCTACTACATTATGTAAGGCTCGTTGGCTTGGTTGTATTAGTGCATTCTTTGTCATAATACAAAAAATGAAGAAAATATTACATATGCTATATATATGTGTGTGCAGAAGACGAATCCCTTTGTGAATTTGACATGTCATCCGTACAAATATATAACAAATGTAATATTTCCTCCAAAAAATAGAAAAAACTATTCCGTTCAAACGTTCGCAAGTCCTGGCAGCTAAGCACCGGCCTCCACATCTCCCGTCGATGATGTGTATGACAACGTGGCTGCCTGAGATTGGCATCCGGAAGTGAGATTATCCGGACCGAATATTTTTCCAAAAAATGATACCATTTCATGAACCAATTGCTAAAAAAAATTTGCATCAGAATATACTGACCAATGAGTGTTTATGATGGGTAATATGATCATTAGATCTGTTTTGAAATGAGTGCAACATTAATTATCCATTGATCACACTCATCTCAAAGTAAATTCAAGCTTCATATGTATTTTCTACCAAATTCTAATCCAGTTATTTCGACCGAATATGTTTGTTAAATATTATTACGTGAACATCAAACTATAAAAAATAAAAATAAGAAATATATATAATCATTATTGATTTCATGACAATGTTTCTGTTAAATAAGACAGCAGTGAATCAAATCTACTCCCATCATTTGATCAATTCGTTACTGTTTGAAAAATAGATCGAATCATTATCTGTAGCTAGTCCTGATTCCCTAATTCCTGTTTCTCGACACAGTGGAATCCAGAAGAAGTGGGAAAAGATTCGTAAAAGTCAAATCAAGGTGAGAAGATGAATTACCAGTATTGGCACCAAAACAAGAGCTGCTCTACATCAATCCTGCTGCTCTCCATAAGCTTGAAGCATTCAAATCCAGGGTATGCATATCCAAGCACCAATCTGCAAGAACATAATCCAAATATTTTTCAATCGGCAACCACTCTTCTCAATCCGATTTCACAAAATTAGATAAAATAAACTATGGTTTCCTCAAATAACTAGATCTAAGAGATCGAAGAGCTCACACTAGAACTCTGGTTACAAACTCGCCTAACATCGATCAAATCTCAGCAATTCCCAAATCTGCCGGCAAGAAAACAGAGGGAAAACAGCATTAAACTCAATTGTATTAACAAATAAGTACGAAGCTTGATAAATAGTATATACCTTCAAGATTTCTTGAAATCCTTTAGGGTTTTTTATCCGCCTTTGCAGAAGAAGAAGAAGATGATGATGAAGAAAAAGAAGAAGGGAATGTAGTGATTCAAGAAATACTCTGATGATTCTGTAAATTACAGCAAATGATTCCCGTATTTCTCTCTTTATATATAAACTCCGTAGAGTCTGAAGAGGAGAAGCTGAGCAATGGCGTCAAGGGTGAGGAAAGCGAAGTTGTTGCTTCCCCGCGACGCCTGCAGAGAAAAGAAAAGGAACAATTATATAGAAACCAACCAAAAATATCTATTTACAATTTTACAACCTCTTTCATCCATTGTAAAAGTTGAAAATTACACATCGGCATTTGACGAAAATGGCGGTCCTTGTTTGTGAAAGGATAAGAGATGGAGGGTATTTTCGTTAATTTGCATTATATACCGTTATGTGTTGGCAGCCTAATCGAGCGGAGTTTAGCGTGATGGGTTAGGAAAGTTAGACCGGTTCGTTGTGGGCCCGGGAAGTTAGTTGAAGTGTTGAACCGGCGGTCTGGGAGGAAGGTTCGGTCGGTCCAACGCGGTCCAAATGTCGCAATCCTTTGCCGTTTCAAGGAGGGAGGGGTGGAATTTCCTTTCGGTTTAATGTTGTTTAGTTTGTTCGGTCAATAGCATCATAGATTTTGCTAATTCTATTTTATGACTTTTCAAATATTTTGATAAATTTATAGAAAGTTTTATTTGACTTTATTGCTTCATGAAAATAGATAATTTTACTTAAATTAAGTAGGTGTGTATTTACTTATTGAATAATTAAATTTTAATTTTTATATTTATAGCACTTAAATTTTTAATATCACATCAATTATATTTAAAGAACAAGTAATATTCTAGTTAGATCTAAATACTTAAAACTCTTTATATTATTGAAATATTTTGCTCTCATGTTCTCTTATGTTGTTTGTTGGATTCATGATTATAGTTGAGTCGGCACAATTTAGATGATGATATTAGAGAAGAGAAATTGAAAAAAATAAATGAGTGTTTTGGTACACCGTCTTCGGAATATGGTATTGCACAACATTCAAGATGATGCACTGATGTGTTGGGTGTTTTGTTACTCCACGACGTTCGTCAGGATTTGACAATGTATATCATGATTTTGCAAAGGGTTTCGTTGCAATGAGCACGGGTCGGCTAATAGTGGTCAATGACGACCAACGAGCGGTGGTTAGTAGTGGTCTGCGGATGCAAAAGCGGATGGCATTCATTGAGCCTTCATTGTAGAACGTTGGACTTCAGCTCATCCTTGTGTTCTAGCTCCAAGCTCCGGTCTTAGCCCCCACTTCATGAAGGCAGTAGGGCTCCATATACAAAGTATGTGAGAGACCTTTACTCAGATGAGAAAGGAATTTGTACCATTTCATTGGATGACCCAGAGATATTCTCTGAAATTGATAATATTATATTGATATTTAAGTGCATTAACGATGTTAGAATTGAGTGATCATAAATTTGGTGAATTCGTTTCATTAAGACGCTTGATTTGACTGTAAGTTTATCCGATTTGAAATTTGTTTGCCTTCTAATTAACCAATCAAAATTTTCAAAAGCAATTTAAGATCTGAGCTTGATATGACTCGAATTGGAACAATTTGGTGCATGGCGTTCGACTCGCCGACACATTCAGTTGACTATTGGTTTATTGAAATCAAACTTATGAATGATTTTTAATTTTAATTTGAGTATTTCTAGCACAAAAATATGCCCAAGATTTGTTTCGTGCATTGAGATTTATGCAAAACAAAGAAATTTTTTCAAGACTTACAAAGGTTTTAAACTATTATTACTCTCAAAGGAGGTGAGGGATGATCACAAATAAATTAATAAAGTTGGTTGATTGAATTTGGCTTCAAAACTACAGTTTGATTTTTTATTTTTAAAACATCAATATTGTTGTGAGATATATCAGCTGATGTGATATATATATAAATCAAATAGAAGAACGATCGATGAAGCGAAAATAGAACGAGAAAAATTCACACCAGAAAATAATAACACAGCAGAACACACAGATTTACATGGTTCAACAAATTGCCTAAGTCCACGGAGTTGCAGAGGATTTTACTACTTGAGGAATTTACACCAATCAATCATCTCGACTTACAAGAGGAATCTCTCGCTTCGTTGCTATCTCTTCTTCTCTCTCCGCTCTTCTCTCTCTACACTGAGATACACTGAAGAAACTCTACATCGAGTTGCACCGAAGAAGATAAACTTACAAGAAAAATAAACACAATTTCTCTTCTGCCACAAGCCACCAAGAAAAAGGTCAAGGGAGAACAATCATCTTCTTCTTCTTTCTTCTTTCTTCTTTCTTCTGTCAAGCACGCATACACTGCTTGCACTTTTCTTCCTCTATCCCAAAGAACCCCGAAGAAGAACACAAAAAATCGTGACTTAATCTGAAGGAAAACCGTGCTCTCTTTATTTTCTTCCTCTTCTGTCACAACTTAAAAGAGGCGAGGGACGGCGTCGTTTCGCGAATCGTAGGTAGCAGTTTGTGTAACTGTAAGGTCGCGGTCATGACCTTTGGCGATCGGAAGGGTGGGAGCGGGAATCTGGAGCGGGAGCTGGAAGTGTCGATTTGCGACTTAGCTTCGCATGAGAGCGAGAGTAGACGGAAAGGAATCGGGCTCCAACTATCAAATATTTAATTTTTTTATTACTGTTTTGATTTTAATGTTTATTTAACCAAATAAATCGAAATATCAAATTTTAATTAAAATTTTACATTCAATTTTGATTTCATGCTAAACAAAAAAAAAAATCAAAATCTATATTATATATAATGTTT